TGGCCACCAGCCTCAGATCTGGTTACGTTCGAAGATAAAGATACTTATTGTGTAACCTAAGTATCATACAGTATGAAGGGGGCGCCACCGTCAATACCGGATCGCTGGTTCAGATTTTTGCCATGTTGGAAACCATATAGTTGAACGATGGTAGCGCCCCCCTGTCATTGAGTTTGGCGGGACAGTTCAGCGTGGGTCATCTATATGTCATAGTCAAAGGTCGATATACAGTCTCTTCGCGGAATGACTGGTCTATCCTAAGTTTGACCAAGGCCTTCAGGCAAACCCCAAAGTAAATTCTTATTTCGGCCTTTGACTAAGTCAAACCTAGAAGTGCCTAAACGGTTCAGTCAAACGCCGAAACTAAAATAATCTGTTTCGGGCTTTGCCTAGTCAATCCTAGAAACGACTGACAGACTCGGTCAAAAGTAGACGGCAAATAGAAAACCAGCCATGTGTGAGTCGGATTCGCTCATGAAGGGTACCGTGCGACTCTTTTGTTGTATGGGAGCCCCCTTAACCTCGTAAGACCGAAGAGTAAATTTTGTCGACTTCTAAGTATCGCCGGATGTGCTTTCAGAAGAACGAATAATTTGAAGTAGTAAACGCCGAGCACTTCGAGTAAAAAAAAATCTATGTTAGAGATTTTCTTTTGCATTCATATTTTCAGGGGCCCTATATAATAGTGCATAGAGCTTATTTTAGGTGAAAAATAATAAAAAAATGTTTTCTCTTAAAAGAACATTTGGTATTACAGACTTTAAAAAGGAAAAGTAAATAAATTGTATTTTATACTTTAAAGTAAAACATAAATGTAACCTTCTTAATAAATTAATACTACATAAAGATACAATAATGATATTAATAAATGTAACTGAAAAGGTACAACGGTTTTTAATTTATTTAATGTTTCATAATTAGTACTTTTAAAAGTACTATCGGTTTTATAACATACACTAATGATAGGTTAGAATGTATAAGAAGTAAAGTGAAAATTCATGTTAATTATAATATTTACTAAACTAAAAATCAGAACGTTCTCATGGTAAATTTTCTCAATCATATCATAATTTTAAAAGTCCAATACTCAATTCCATCTCAATAGAAAAAATATACAAAAATAAAACTTTCACTATCAAGACCGAATGTTCCTTGCAAAGAACTATTATTTTCAAACGAAAAAAAACTTACAAAACTACTTCAAATTGGGAAAAATAATTTTTTTGCTTGTTTAGCAGTATTTTAACTTAAATTATACTGATCAGTTTTGCAATTAAACTACGTTAACGCGAAGAAAAAAAATAATCGCACATCACGTCTTCTCGGACGAACCACCTTGTCCAAGGAAAATGATAATTTGACAGTGACGTTTTGTTTTTTTTATATTAATAAGTTTGGATACCTGATTTTGAATACTTTAAGCCATCACTATTTTTTTTCGATAGGCGCGTATTTTTGAACTTAAATTTATCGCTAAAGTTTTAGTTCCTCTGAAGGCACATCCGGCGATACTTCGAAATCACCTCCGAAAATGTCTCGGCGTTACTGACTACAAAGTTTTAGTTCCTTCTGATGCACATCCGGGCTTACGAGGTTAAATATTTATTTTATTTTAATTTTATGATTTATTTTTAAAATGCAACTAAAATTATGTGAATATTTCAAGGGTTCACCTGTTTACGTTTTAATTAATATCAAGTAAAAAACTGCAACAAGTCACGTTTGCTGTATGGTAGCCCCCCTTAAATATTTAAGTATTTTATTGAATTATTTATTTTTAAAGTGAATGATTCATGAGATACGAGCCTGGTGACAGACAACATTTAGCGAAGTCATAATAATAGGGTCTAAACTCTTTATCCTTTAAGGTAACAGAACCCTAAAAATTAGTAATTAATCAAGATCAATCTAGAAACACTCACAACCAACCTCAGTATTGTATAAGTTTAGTTACTCGTACCTTCACCTAAAGAGATAGCTGCGCGTGCGCGTGAAAACCTACCGTCGTAACGCCTATGCAATAAGTTCGAGATCAGAATTAAGTATAAGTAGTTTAGTTTAAAGTCTTAATTGAGGTTTGACTAGTCAAACCCCGATTTCATTAAATTGAGTTTCGACCTTTGCCTGACCAAATTAGTTACTCCTAGGTTTGACTAACATTATTTAGTCAAAGGCCGAAATGTTTGGGCTTTGACTAAGACTTCTAGTCAGACCTGAGGATTGACTAGTCAAACCTAGGAGTGCCGGAACTTCGAGGTTTGGCTATAACATATACACCATATTGTTAATGACATTGAGCATACATTTTTTTAAATACCTTCGCGAAGTAAAACTTCTGTACCTATGTAGTACTTATTATTATTCTGTGCTTGTACGTAATCGCTTATTATAAGTTATCTAAGTAATTTTGCAATAATACCTACATTATTACATATCTATAAGTACTTATAATAAATCTGTAGAGAGGTCAATTATCCTGTACCTACATGAAATATATTCTCAAAATAACTATCAGGGCGTGATTAGTGATCGATACTGATGCCAAAAATACAATCAGTAAAATTTTTGTCTGTCTGTCTATCTGTCTGTATGTTCCTTATAGAAACAAAAACTACTCGACGGATTTTAACGAAACTTGGTACAATTATTCTTCATACTCCTGGGCAGGTTATACAGGGTGTTAGGTAAATGGGTATATGAGCCGACACTAGCCCATGTTAACATGGTGAAGTCAGAAAATTGATATCTGCATTTTAATTATTTTAATTTTCATACAAATCGGATTTTATAAAATTTATTTTGTATGAAAATTAAAAAAAATTAAATGATGATATCAAAGGACAATGTTCGTTCTCCATACATTGTTCGCCTAAGAACCAACAATTTTGACATATTACTACCCGAAAGCGAAATAATACGATTCTGTGTGTAAGAACAATGATTCCTGATGGACACTTGCCATAAAATTAATGATTAAGAATATTAAATCACAGCGATTTTATAATATGTCGTTTATGACAACATGGCGTCTAATGTATTGTGTGAATGTATGAACACCGATTCGCGAAAAATGTTTTGTATTGTCGTCACGCCGAGTCGCAGCCAAATAGTATAAAATAATAGAACAAGTTTTAGAAATACAACTCGGCATTCCACTTTTATAATATGCCCACATATTGCACGTAAATAAACAACATGAATCGTAGGTTGTTTCCACCCTTGTCATCTGACACATGAAATAAACTCCTATTGTATTATAGATATCGAAGCCGAATCGTATATAATAATAGAATGGGTTTTGGAGATCACTCGCGGCGGAAGGAAACTTGCCCCCCCTCCCCCTGCTACCACAGGGGGGGCTCCCGATGTCTACCGACGGAAATCCACTCAGGAGCACCCAAAGAACCACTGTTGCAAAAATGAGCCTTCTATACCAAAGTGGAGGGGTTCTTGCACTAAATTCCCTACTAATACCATTTATATGACCATGTTAACATGGGCTAGTGTCGGCTCATATACCCATTTACCTAACACCCTGTATACTTAGGAAAATCCTTTTGTATGAAAAATCTAAACCGCTTAAATTAGACGCTTGAAATTTGGCATGCAGATCCTTAGTAAACTTAAAGCTTAGTTACAACAGTATATTGCAAAATTCCCACGGGAACGGGAGTTAGCGGGAAAAAACATTTGTATGAAAAAATCTAAACCGTGTAAGATAGATGAAGGGGGTAAAACGGGATCCACGCGTACGAAGTCGCGGGCGGCCGCTAGTTTACTAATAATACTCGTGTAAATATTTAATTATGGTCTCTTCTCTATTATTTTTTTACAAACAGGTATTTGACCGCAATAGCTCCTAACTAATGTTTAAGTGAGATGCAGTCAGTCAGTGGTAGACTTACCAGCAGACTGAGTAGGCTGAAGCCTAGTAGGGCGGCAAATTTTAAGGTGCGGCAGATTTAGTTCTTTTTTTTTATTCGCATTATAAAAATAAAAACAAATCTTAAAAAATCTAATTTGACTGGCCTAGTAAGCTTTATTCATATCTTATCATTATTATCACTTACAAGTTTTGTATGCTTTCGCCTTGAAAAAGACCGGAAGTGTTCAGGAAACCGTGGCCAGTGTACAGTTGTGAAAGTTTATGGGTTGCTGGTTTTCTAGGAATAGCTTATGAAGCATCACTGCTACCGACTTATTTTTAAAAAAATCCAGCAATCTAACAGAAATAAAAATACGTGATTTTCATTCATTTTTAAAATATTTCTAATGAATCGCCATCCCAACTTCCCAACTAATATTATAAATGCGAAAGTAACTCTGTCTGTCTGTCTGTCTGTCTGTTACGCTTTCCCGCTTAAACCTCGCAACCGATTTTGATGAAATTTGGCATAGAGATAGTTTGAGTCCCGGGAAAGAACATAGGGTAGTTTTTATCCCGGTTTTTGAAACAGGGGCGCGCGCGATAAAGTTTTTCTGTGACAGACAAAATTCCACGCGGGTGAAGCCGCGGGCGGAAAGCTAGTTATAAATATTTTTAAAAATGCCCTCACTTAGAAAGTATGGGCTACCTATTTTAGAGCTCACCATTTGGCGCCACTGTAAAATAAGGTCCTGCTACTGAAGCTGGAAACATTGAATTTTCAGATACTTCCAGTTTATTCTGTAACCTGTTATTGGTACCGTTTGAAAGAGTTCGTAAAGCACTTTCAGGGTCAGTAACCAGTTTTTCGATATCTTGTATGGTTTAGAAATTATCGAGTGAGATCACTTATCGTTTCCACCCTGTATAAGTGCGAGCTGGAGTAGAGCGCTGAAGTCGGTAGGAGGACTATTTTATTACAACTTATTTTGCACCCATGGCGCCACTTTACAGTAGGGTAACCACCAATGGTGCCAACAGTATAATATAAAAAGGAAAAAACTTTTGGTGTACCGTATAAAAATTGTGACAGTCGTTAAAATAAAACTATCAAAATGACAGTGACAGTACTGACAGATCTCTCCGTCATCTCCGTGTAAAAAAATACGAACTGTGAGCGACGAAACTTTTAGTTTTAAATTTAATTTTACTTGGTGACTTGTACTGTGCTGTTTTTACTTTTCTACAGTTTCATTTTTTCAGCAAGTCAATATGAAACCTAAATCAGTCCTCACCCGGTTTCACAATTGTTACATATTGCGTGATAATAAAATAATTAAAGAAGATCTGTGGATACGCGATGGTAAAATTGAAAATCCAGAACAAGTTTTTTATGTGGAACAGCTCGAAGCAGACGTAACTGTAAATTGTGACAATGTACTGATTGCACCAGGGTTCATTGACATCCAAATAAATGGTATGCACTTTCGTTTGCATTTGTACAAAAATACTTGTTACAAAGTTTTAAAACTTATTCCAATTTATTTTAATAGTAAATAGGTATTAGGGTCTTTATTAAACAACAATAAATGGGAAAACACAACTTTACTTAATTAAAACTTATTTAATAAATATGAGTATGTTTTGAATAGAAATTAAATAAATATTTAAATAATGGCCCTTGTTGTCTATTTTATAATATTTTTCATTTTATCAAGTTTAATATGAAAATAAAACATTATCCTTGCCTTTATTTCCAACAGTAGAAACTTCTTAATCAATTTTAATTAATTTCTTCATAAAACATGACATTATTTATTTATTATTATTTTTTTAGGTGGTTGGGGTATTGACTTCTCATACGACTGCAAAAATGTAGAAAATGGTGTCAGTAAAGTGGCAAAAGAGCTCCTGGCTCATGGTGTGACTTCATTCTGTCCTACCATGGTGACGTCAGACACAGAAAAGTATAGTAAAATCTTGCCCAAGATCACCAAAGCCCAAGGCGGTAAGGATGGTGCTACAGTACTGGGGGTACACCTTGAGGGTCCATTTATCAGCCTAGAAAAAAAAGGAGCCCATATGGATGACTACATCAGAACCCCAGAAAAGGTAACATAACTCATTAACATCATCATTTCAGCTACAGGACGTCCACTGCTGAACATTGGCTTCCCCCAATGACTTCCACATTGCACAGTTGGTAGCGGCCTGCATCCAGCGCCTTCCTGCTACCTTTATCAGATTGTCAGTCCGCCTTGTGGGTGGAAGTCCCACACTGCGATTTCTGGCACATGGCCTCCACTTCAGAACCTTACATGTAACTATTCTAGTATAATAATACTGAGACCAACTCATAAGGAAAATATCTTAGTTATTAACAATGACATGTCAATGAAAAGCTTAATATTCAATTTAGCTTAACAGGTAAACAAAAAATTATTAAGTTTAGTTTTAGAGAGTAAATTATTTTACATTTTGTAATACAAATGGGTCAAAACATTTATTTGTGAATTATTTAGGTGAATTAAAAAAAACCAATGGCTTTTGTGTGAACAACTACATTATTTTAAATCATTATCGCAAAATAAACAACTGATTGAACTCTGTTGCAATATATCTGAGACTTTTATCAATAACCCACTTTTAATTCAATGAAAACATCAGTGCGGTTACTGAACTTGTTATCAACTGCTTACAACAACTGTATTGCTTTATCAAATATTTATGTTGTACTACTTTGATTGAGGTATCACTTTATAATAGATATTTACTATAATGTATACAGAAACTGTTAACAATATGCACTTGAAAATGCTTTATTGAATTTTTATTTTATTAATTAACAAAGTTGTGGAATATTTTCAGAATCCAATATTGCAACTTACAAAAGATCTTGCAAACTTATACAGGGTTGCTAATTTCTTAAAAAATATGTAAAATTATAAATGTAATAAGAAACATAAATTATATCACTTTTTTCAGGGATTAGAGTCAATCCGTGAAGTTTACGGATCTTTGGATAATGTTATCATGGTCACGTTAGCCCCAGAACTGCCTGGAGCAACTGAGGCTATAAAAGGCTTGACCGGCCTCGGCATCAAGGTAGCGTTAGGTCATTCCACTGCCAGTCTAGCACAAGGTGAAGAAGCAGTTAAAAACGGTGCTAATTTGATCACTCACTTGTTCAATGCAATGTTACCTGTAAGTATAATTATAATAAGTTTCTTAATTATTTTTAACTGTTTTTCAATATAATTCTGTTAGTGTAGGTAGAATGTAGTTACCTATTATGTTTGACTCATAAAAACGTTTCTCAAAATACGTTCCCCATCACAGTACACACAGTTTCATACTTTGTGTTCTTACTTTTCAATTTGTTACTAAATTTTTATTGGTTAGGCGTAACATTTATAAAATGAATATAAGTTGTTGGCTTCATAATTTCAGTTCCACCATCGTGACCCTGGCCTAGTAGGACTACTAGCTTCAACGACAGAGAAACAAGTGTACTACGGTATCATAGCTGACGGCATTCACACGCATCCTGCGGCCCTTAGAATAGCATGCAGAACGAATCCTGAAGGTAAATAAGTGTGATATTCAAAAATAGAGTAATGAGACTAATGAGGACCTGGATTGAATAAAAAAGTTAAGAGCGTTTACGCCGTTTGGCGCAAAAACAGTACTTTTTCAACTCGTTACAATCATTAACCAGTTATATTACAAATATGTTATAGGCATAAATAATTAGGCAATTTCGTCGTCTAAATAGTTAGTTGAGAAAATATTTCGATTAGTGTAGTATTTAAGAATTCTATCAAGATAAGTCCACACAGGTTTTCAAATTTCCACTTTAGCGTCAGTTTACAAGCTGAAATTTTTATAAAAATACTGTGAAAACGATATAACAAACATTTATATCCTATAGCATAGGTCCTTAGGCAAATAGTTAGTTGAGAAAATTCTTAAATTTAAGCATTTTACAATAAGAAATCACAAATTCAAAGAACGCGAAATACCCAAAAATCAAAGTGATTTTTACACCATTATTCTTCTTTAATTCAACATAAAAATAGCGTAATATAATAAAATAACATCTTCTTTAAAATATTTACTTTGAAACGATATATAATTCATTGTTATTGTTTGGCTATAAACATTTGAAAACTATTAAAAAACGCCGCGCGCGAATCATTTCCAATGATGCCCCTTGAAACGCCGCGCTTCGCGTAAACGCTCTTAACACATTAGGGCGCCTTCAAATTAGAAGCGTACGCAGTGCTACTAACCGTAACAAATGCGACGTGCATGGCGATTCTAGAAAATTGTATGACAACTACCTAGTAGTGGCACCACTGCAACGCTTTCTCACGCCCCTAATTTGAAGACGCCTATAAACCTTCGAAGTATTCCTAAATTACGCAGATCTGAAGACACTGCATATTATTATGGGCAAAGTGAAACCGTGATAAGCCTCCAAAACTATTGACAAATGAAGCCACGCCTACTTTCAAATTTTTTTTTTTTTTATTCCTTTATTTTATGGTTTCGATCCTAATTGGTAACTTCACCTTCACAAATTCCAGGTCTGGTACTAGTAAGCGACGCAGTAGCAGCTCAAGGCTTGGCAGACGGCAACTACCGTATCGGGCCGCAAGCCGTTACAGTGGAAGGCGGCCGGGCGTACGTGACGGGCACTAAGACTCTTTGCGGCAGCACCAGTGGACTCGACGAATGCGTGATCATCTTCAAACAGTCTATAGGTATGGATTAAAATATATTCGCTCATAGTAGCCTATTTTAAGTACTATCGGATCAGGTCACAAGCCAAGGTTCAAGGCAGCCGGGCCTATGTGACGAGCATCAAAACTCAGCGGCAGCACCAGTAGACTGGACGAATGTGTGATCAGTGACAGTCTATAGGTATGGGAATAAACTATTGAAACTGGCAATTCGATTCTCTTCCTAGTAAATTGCGCCAAGCAGGTGTATTAAGAATCAATAATTTTTTTTTTGACTCCTAAGTATTTGGATTTTATAATTTTTCTGAATTGGACTGTTTGACTTTTAAAACCATTTAATTGTGGGAGTCTACACAAAACTTTCCATCTGCCCGGCTGCCTGGTCCTTTAGAGGAAAGATTTCAGGTAAAATGAGAGATAATGAAGATGTTCCACCATTCATCCACGAAGACGCGCCCCACCATTTATCCGCTAATGTTTGAGTGTTATCGGCTAAATTATCCATGAAGTGCACGCACACTACAATAATGACGCTCGGATTTTTCGGATCAAACTCCCCGCACCACGCGCTTCCCTTGACCAAAAATTGGTAGGGCGCGTCTTCGTCGATGAAACGATCTATAACCTGACAACGGTCTTTTACTTTCAGATTGTACCTTGGAATATGCGTTAGAAGCTGCTTCCTTACATCCAGCAAGAGCTTTAGGTATTGATGACCGAAAAGGCAAACTAGACTTTGGTTATGACGCGGATTTTGTCATCTTACACCCCAAATCTTTGAAGGTTCTCTCCACTTGGATCGCGGGGGAATGTGTTTTTGAACGACCAGATTCAGAACAATGATTGCAGGTAAATATGTATAATATGATATTACCAGACTATGAAAATGTATTTTATTTACAGTTTGTGTACATGTTAAATAACTTTTCAGTCATTGAACTTCACAACTGACGGGTTTTAAATAGGAGGTATCTACACTACTATGCTTTATAATTTTATGCATTTTGACATAATTTATACAAATTAAATGTGATATTATGTATGTAAATAAAATGTGTCTAAAATAAAACGTTATACCTATTCAAAGTTAGCGTTCTTTTTATTCGTTTAACCATAGTTATTAACCATAATATAAACCATTAGTTATCCATCGATAGCCATAGGCACACATAATGATGCAGTTCATGTATTTTTTAAATCAATTAAGACGTGACAAAAGTACACGACCGCTTCTGATATTGCAATAAGCCGTATATGCTATATATAGACTAAGAGCTAGTGAACGCCGTAAAAAAACTGTCTGGCTGTTGGGGAAAATACTTCTAATCATTGTCCAAATATTATACATAAAACTCAGATTTAGGGCCGATTTTTCAATCGTCAGATAACTTTTAACCGAAGAATAAGTTTGTCAATTTGACATATTTCCCATACTGAAACTGTCAATGTGCCAAAGTTATTCTTCAGATAAAAGTTATCCGACGATTGAAAAATCAGGCCTTAGTGGTATAACGTTAGTAGAATTACAGTCTATTGAATAAACAGAAAAAGCCACCGTAAAAGTTAGACTAACGCTATACCATAAAATCTGATTTTTATGTAACATTTGGGCAATAATTAGAAGTATTTTCCCCAACAGCCAGACAGTTTTGACAGTTCCAACTCCTTGCCAGTTTTTTTAGGGTAGCTCCCAAAGCCACCATGACCCAAACTTCATAATTCACCAACATTTTATCTATATTGGGAGCATACGCTGACAAACTTTCAGCTTTTATAAAATGACGTAGGTCTGGCGTTCACTAGCTCTTAGTCTAATAGTACCTAGACTCCAGGTAGGTACTCTAGGTCCTGTTCGTATGGGTCTAGGCCACGTCTAGGCATAGCTCATCAGAATGGGTTTCTACAAAAGTGGGAGGGGTGATAAGTTTTACGTATCAGAGCTGTCACGGTACACGTGCATCTAAGGCCGAGTGTACACGTCTGAAGTCAAAATTAAATCGCGGTTGACGTAACAAAAACGCACCCTTCCTAAAGGAACCTACAGGCATACCGCATAACAGGAGTGCTATGCCCTGTACCTCGTGCAATTATGACGTAAATGCTACTCTCTCGAGTATGAACCTACAAAAAATATTTTGTTTCCTATCTAAACCCTACACAGAACTGCTTTTTGAAATTCANGTAAGACAACAATAAATTTTCAAATTTTACAGACCTTCTAGAGCAGATGCCGCAAAAACTATACAAGATATAGAAAAACTTGACGGTCTCACCTGTAGCAAATTGAATAAGCTTTTTTTGGTTCATAGTAGTCATGTCACTAGGACGCATAGTTTCCGAGGATTAAGCGAAAAACCGAAAAGTGGTACCTTTAAACCCCCCTCTCCCCGCCGGCTCAAGGGCTAAGGGCGGGGACTTTTGTTATGTTCACCACCTAACTAGGCTGAATAAAGTCCCGAGGTCAGAAATTGTGTTCCACGGATTTCTCTCTACACCGTCGTTAAGGCATTTATTGACTGGACTATAACTTGAGTTTACATTTTAAACTATTGGTTAACATTTTGTTAACATTTAACCATTAGTCGCAAAATCTAACAAATAGTTATTTTAACTATGAATCAAAAAACCGGGCCTAAGTGATCTAAGGCTGAGTGTACACGTCTGAAGTCATAATTAAATCGCGGTTGACGTATCACAAAAACGCACCCTTCCTACAGGAACCTACTGCTGTTATGCGCTATGCCTGTACCTCATGCAATTATGACGTAAATGCTACTCTCGAGTACCTATGTATTCTACTATGAGCCCACAACATTTTGAGTTTAGGTACTATCTAAAACCTACAGACCTGCTTTTAAAATTCTTATCAATCTCCTTGTCCAGAAACCTACAAGTATAATTTTATTCTAAGGAAGGATATTATCGTGGAAAATAAATAAAAGAATATTGTTAGTGGCATGGAAAATCTTTATTGAAGTAAATATATTTATAAAGTCAGTACAATTTAAGTTCAATAGTTTCCAAAAATATTAAAGTGCAGGTTGCTGATCACCTGGCAATGTTAAATATGATTATTTCTTAATTAAAATACAAGCTAATATTGAGAAAACTGTAATATGTGAATAATAACATGTATATACCTAAATAAAATCATGACAAAAATATATTTTAGGCAGGCTCTGAGTTACACTGCTCTGTGCTGTTGTTATCCTGGCCACAGTTCACGATAATAAACTTATAATTATTAAGAGACCGCTAAGGTCACGTGAAAACCTGCACTCGTAAAACAATCGAAAGAGTGCAACAAGACAATGTCCTAATTCCCAAGTAACTTCAGCGGTGAATGAATTTGGTCAAAGTAAGATGTGCAACTAGTTAAAATAAAAAATCTACTTCTGTCCACAAGTAAATATAGAAACTATTATCCGGTTACGATGGATTATAACATGACTCTAATATTAATAAACTCAATTCCTCCACAGCTTCCGAATCGTGGACAGACCTAACCAGTTGGGCATCTTAATTTTACAATAAAATTAAACATCAAGTTACAAACCACGCAATGTATATTCATGTATACAATAATATTACTAAGTGTATGTATGTATATAATGTAAATACATTTTCATGAAAAACAAAATAATATCATGGAATATTCAAAGAGCCAAAATATTGAGATTAACTCTACCTCGATACCATTAACTTCTAAGATCTAGGCACAATGCAGCAGAGACTCCTGTATGGATTACATAACAATTTTCGTTGACTGTGGGGCAACAAAGAACAGACTCGTTCAGTCAACACCACCACACAAGGTATACTGAAGACGCTACTAGACTGCTGATGATTACCGAACATGCGTTATACGATATGTGGGGAGAAGAGGACCGATTCGGAGGGGTGCGGTGTGAGCAGAATAGAACGGCCACTGGTACTCCGTGTGTGGGTGCTGCTGGCCCCTGCATGCGCTTGCGGCACGCGCCGAAGGCAAACAACTACATCTAATAAACTTCAACCTTTACAATGTCTTCAAATCTTTACGGAGGGTATTGTCTGTTAGATATAATTTCGTGAAGTCCACAGTCACACTAAAAACATCCATGTGGACTACTTACTAAGTTAAAATACTTTAACAGAATTAAATTATTGAGCAATATATTCTTAAGAGAATATAGTAGAGATTTGCTCGGCTGCACCAACTCTACGGAAAAATTCATGTTAATCCTAATATCAAATACCAATGCACACTCCACAAATGTCATTTTCGTATAATGAGAAATAATAATAATGAATAAATGAAATCTTTGGATCAGAATAATTAAAATATGCATTTGGATCATGCACCTCTCACACAAAAAAATTACAATACAATACAATAAATTTTCATTTTCCTTCAACGTAAAAAATGACGAAAAAACTTAATAGTGTAACTTAAGATATACTTAAATCTAATTTGAAAACAAAAGTAAGCCATTTTCTAAACATATACTTAACCTTTCAGAAAAATACGGGAGTTGCTGACAATTTCTATGAAAACTAAATGGATTCGGCATGATATGTTTTGTTGTTATTACTGAGTAATTTATGAGATGAGAAGTATCTAAATGGCCGTTCATGTGAAAAAAATTATGCTTACAGTTATAGAATCAATTAAAAAATAAGATCACTACAATACGTAAATACCAAGAATTGTATATTAAAATATTTGTACTTTTACTGACTAAAGGAAAAAACATTGGCAACTGCTAATAATCCTACAATTGTAAAAAAAATAACTTGTATAATGTAGACTGAAAACGGTCATCTCAAATTCGTTCACTCTAGATGTGGAATGCAATTAGAATTCTTTAACAATATTAAAAGGTATAATAATATATTAAATTTTTATATCAGCTCAACAATGTATATAATCTATAATAATTTAAAAGCCTAGATCCAAACTGTGATATTTATTGCACAAGCACACATGTGGCTTAAAAATTTCAATGAGAATAGAGCTCACAACCTTTAATTATTTATGTTGTTTTAGAACAGCGGAGACTAAACTGGTGAGGTGGGTTTCAATAAATCGAGTTATGTTCAGTCATTTGAGCATGCTGTAGTTAACTTTTATAACAGTAATACATATTCGGGAGAAACAGACGAGCAAGTGTTGTTAATCCCCACCCACAGTCAAGTATACGGGCCGTAGTAATTAAGACTCGAATCTTTTATGCCACAACACGACCGGAACCATCTAGCTGTGCTTGGTGCCACAACATAGGCAATACGCCCACCTCCAATAGGGAGGGTAACATTAGAGCTCACCTTGTGCGCTGCGAACCCTACGATTATCACGTTACCTGGCACCGAATCTGCACACATCCTGACATTCGCAATAACAATCTGGCTCTTCAAACGTCCTAACACAGAACGAAGTTATATCGGGCCAAGGACATCGCAACTATCGGCGCCAAATAAGGTGATCCTACACAACTACTGAAGTAATTTATTGCTGGATACATAAGGGAATATAGATTCAAGAGAAATATATTTACCAAAAAATTGCTTTAAAGTGTATATAGGTAACTTTTAAGATTTTCGAGAAAGGCTACTGTAATGTACTCTAATGATACAATTATTATCGAGTAATGTCAATGGACAATAGATACCATTTGACCTGCCATTATCCCATGACAAAGTGCTTACTTGCTACGGCAAGAATATACAGCCAACAGTCGCGGCGAATACCCGCCGCGGCCCGCACCAACCGCTAATAAACATCTCTAAACAACATCACCATATAGGCAAACTTGTGATACTGTATGTAGTGTATATCAATTGAAAACTCTAATCACTACAAAAAAAACTACTACGCCAACAACTACATAAGATACATGGCAAGAACAAAGGAAACATTGTCGATGAGATATCACCAATTGATGCAGGGGAATATATAAATTATAATAATAATAATAATACT